AAATTAGATACTATAAATAAAAGTCTAAAAATAAAGTCCAAACAAATTATTTTCAAAATATATGAAATTGTGCTCAATCCCTCCCAAAAAAGTGCTCCACAATTCTTCAAACAAATGTGCTCCCCCCATCCGTGATGAATGCTCCTCCCCCCTCACCAGATGGAATGGACTCTTCCTGATAGGGCACAAGAGTCAGACAAGCGTAGAATGAGTGGGCGTGTCCTCCCAGATAACTCTGTACTCAATATCCTCCAGAAACGACTCCCACGATTGGATGACAATGGAAAACAAAACAAAAACAACAAATAGTGCAATACTGTAAAAAACTCTTTAATTATAAAACAAGTCTGCCTTCTATACACTCACATGATACAAAATATAGTCAGGCTTCATAATAGGCCCAGAGGCTCATATTATATGACAGATTTCCATTTGTAGAAGTGGACTGGCAAAGATAGATAGAAATCCCTTCTAGACAAGCAGGAAGTCACTCCGGAACACCGCAAACCAGCGTGCGTTCCACTCACCGGACGTGACGTCACCACGCACCCACCGGAACTGGAAATATGTCAACACGTTTCACCCTCCTCCAGGACGTTATCCAAGACATCATTTTCCAGCTCCTAACATCTTATATACCTCCCCACTACTCCTCCCCTTTCTCCATTCAGCCAAATCCATCCCATTAACCCTCTAACACCTCATCCCTCCAATCCACTTCCCAATTACAATCTCCAAGCCCACATACACATACCAATATCAATATTTTAATTCCACAGACACCTAATTACCTCTCTATTTATTTTAAATCATCATAATAACAAAAATTTACTCCATGCTAATCAATCTAATAGACCCCAAACAATAGTTCTAATAAAAAAAATGATATATAAAAATAAAAGTAAATAAGAATAAAAAAAAAAAAAAAAATAATAAAAATAAAAATAAATATAAATAAATAAAAAAAAAAATAAAAATAAAAATAAAAATAAAAACAAAAAAAAATAAAAAAATAAAAAAACAAAAAATAAAAAAAATAAAAAAAAAAAAAAATATTTAAAATTTAAAAATTAAAAAAATAAATAAAATAAAATAAATGAAAATAAAAACTACAAAATTACACAATAAACAACAATCAAGGAATTCATATCTAATAGACACTACCAATTGGACAAGAAACAATTAAGATCGACATCTATATTCAACCCCTTAAGGGATGAAGTATTCTATTTTAGGATCCATCTTGTCTCATTCTGAAAAATCCACCTAGTCATATTTCCACCACGCCAATGAGGCTCAACTTTGTCGATCCCACAGAACCTGAGCAAAGATGGATCCCTATTGTGGCACTTCCTAAAATGGTAGGACAAACTGTGACGCCTAAAACCTTTTTTAATGTTTCTAATATGCTCACCCAGTCTTACAGATAATTTTCTAGTTGTTCTTCCCACGTATTGAAGGTGACAGGGACATTCCAACAAATACATTACATGATGACTATCACATGAAACAAATTTCTTACTATTATATAATTCCCCTTTAGCCTGTGACTGAAATTGTAAGATTTTCCTATTCCTGTCACCCTTCATCACTTTACAAGCCATACACCTCCCACATTTGAAAAATCCCACCTGATCCAAAAAAGTCATTTTCTTGGAAGGTGGGTCTGGGACATTTCTCACAAGTTTATTCCTAATAGTTGGTGGTCTCCTATAAATGAATTTAGGGTGCCTCGGTAAAAGCCTCCCCAATACCTCATCTTGCAGTAATATTGGCTAGCCAAAGTGATGAAGGGTGACAGGAATATAAACATCTTACAATTTCAGTCACAGGCTAAAGGGGAATGATATAATATTCAGAAATTTGTTTCATGTGATAGTCATCATGTCACGTATTTGTTGGAATGTCCCTGTCACCTTCAATATGTGAAGAAGAACAACTAGAAAATTATCTGTGAGACTGGGGGAGCATATTAGAAACATTAAAAGAGGTTTTAGGCATCACAGTTTGTCCTACCATTTTAGGAAATGCCACAATAGGGATCCATCTTTGCTCAGGTTCTGTGGGATTGACAAAGCTGAGCCTCATTGGTGTGGTGGCAACATGACTAGGTCGATTTCACAGAATGAGACCAGATGGATCCTAAAAAGAATACTTTTTATCCCTTAAGGGGTTGAATATAGATGTTGATCTTAACTGTTTCTTGTCCAATTGGTAGTGTCTAGTAGATTTGAATTCTTTCATTGTTGTTTATTGTGTAATTTTGGGTTTTTTTATTTGTAATATTTTTTTATTGTAATTTTTTTATTTTTATTTTTTTTTTTTCATTTTATTTTTTTTTTTTTATTTTATTTTTATTTTTTTTTATTTTTTTCATTTTTGTTATTTTTATTTATTTTTGTTTTTTTCTTATTTTTTTAAATATTTGTTTTAAGTTTAATTTTTTTTTTTTTTAATTCTTTCATTGTTGTTTTTGTGTAATTTGGGGGTTTTTTATTTTTTTTATTATTTTATTGTCATTATTTTTAATTTTAATTTTATTTTTATTTATATTTATATTTTTAGTTTGATTTTTTTTTTATTTTTATAATTTTTTTTTTTTTTTCATTTTTTTTATTTTTATACATTTTTGTTTTTTTTTTCTTATTTTTGTTATTTTTTTTAATATTTGTTTTAAGTTTAATTTTTGTTCATGTATTTTATTCATCATATTAGATTAATTAGTGTGGAGTAATATTTGTTACTAATAAAATAAATAGAGAGGTAATTAAGTGTTTGTTGTTTATAATATCGAGATTGTTATGTGTATGTTGGCTTGGAGATTGTAATTGGGAAGTGGATTGGAGGGATGAGGTGTTAGAGGGTTAATGGGATGGATTTGGCTGAATGGAGAAAGGGGAGGAGTAGTGGGGAGGTATAAAGGATGATTGGAGCTGGAAAATGATGTCTTGGATAACGCCCTGGAGGAGGGTGAAATGTGTCGCGGTATTTATTTCCGGTGGTCCGGTGGGTGCGTGGTGACGTCACGTCCGGTGAGTGGAACGCACGCTGGTTTGCGGTGTTCCGGAGTGACTTCCTGCTTGTCTAGAAGGGATTTCTATCTATCTTTGCCAGTCCACTTCTACAAATGGAAATCTGTCATATAATATGAGCCTCTGGGGCCTATTATGAAGCCTGACTATATTTTGTATCATGTGAGTGTATAGAAGGCAGACTTTTTTTAAAATTAAAGATTTTTTTACAGTATTGCACTATTTGTTGTTTTTGTTTTGTTTTCCATTGTCATCCAATCGTGGGAGTCGTTTCTGGAGGATATTGAGTACAGAGTTATCTGGGAGGACACGCCCACTCATTCTACGCTTGTCTGACTCTTGTGCCATATCAGGAAGAGTCCATTCCATCTGGTGAGGGGGGAGGAGCATTCATCACGGATGGGGGGAGCACATTTGTTTGAGGAATTTTGGAGCACATTTTTTTGGGATTGAGCATAATTCATATATTTTTAAAAAAAAAATTTTTTTTTTGTGTTGACTTTTTTTTTTTTTTAGACTTTTATTTAATTTTATTTAATTTTTTTTTATATTTAATTTATTTGCGCTGTGGAGTGTTTAGTGAATTTACTAAAATAATTACATTTCCATGGTCTGAATGCAGGGTCTGGGGAGACCAATATGACGGAGTTTCCATAGTGAATGCAGGGTCCGGAGAGCGGATATAGTGAATGCAGGGTCCGGGGAGAGCAGATATAGTGAATGCAGGGTCCGGGGAGAGGTGGATATAGTGAATGCAGGGTCCTGGGAGAGCAGATATAGTGAATGCAGGGTCCGGGGAGACCAGATATAGTGAATGCAGGGTCGGGGAGAGCGGATATAGTGAATGCAGGGTCCCGGGGAGAGCGGATATAGTGAAGGGTCCGTGGATATAGTGAATGCAGAGTCCTGGGAGAGCAGATATAGTGAATGCAGGGTCCGGGGAGAGCGGATATAGTGAATGCAGGGTCCGGGAGAGCAGATATAGTGAATGCAGAGTCCTGAATGGAGAGTGGATATAGTGAATGCAGGGTCCAGGGAGAGTGGATATAGTGAATGCGAAGGGTCCTGGGAGAAAAGATATAGTGAATGCAGGGTCCAGGGAGAGCGGATATAGTGAATGCAGGGTCCAGGGAGAGTGGATATAGTGAATGCAGAGTCCTGGGAGACAAGATATAGTGAATGCGGGGTACGGCAAAGCAGATCTAGTGAATGCAGGGTCCAGGGAGAGTGGATATAGTGAATTCAGGGTCCAGGGAGAGTGGATATAGTGAATGCAGGGTCCGGGAGGAGTGTGATGCGGATGACGTCACAACGTTACCATTCATCGGGACAGCGGTTATAGTACTCTGTAAGCGGCTCCTGGAACGACATTACAGCAGGCAATAGCATTCATTAAGTGGCCCCGTGCTTTGCCTGGCATTACATTACGGATGGGGTCTGGTTTGAGCATGTACAGGACTCTGCTGCTGAGATGATACTGCCATCTAGTGTCTAATCAGTACATCACTGGATGTTCATCATACCTGGTGCAATATACACCTCCGGAACGTGAGTGCATTTCTTATGTTTAATTGATGAATAAAAGTGTAAAAGGATAAAGCACTATGTGGAGTTCTTTGTAATGAGGAATACGGCTGATACAAAGACGCTTATCAGGAGGGAGATTACTTTGGAGTCCTCATTCAACAAGCTGATCTTTTGAGTCCAAATGGGACCAAAAGTGCAGTTAGACGTAACATTGTATAATGTGCGGTCACACTGCGTGAGGTGAGCAGATATATGGTGGAGGATGTCTTTGCACGGGAATTGATGACAGATGCACATATTTTTTGTTATCCAAAAGAAGGGTTCACAGAAGAACACTTTATTGATTGAACTTCAGTTTTTGAATGACTTTTGCTTGATACATACTTAAAAAATACTTTTTGATTTTTTTTTGTGGTCCATATATATATATATATATATATATATATATTTATATTATTATATTATTTTTTTTACTTTGCTTTTTTTGATATATAGGAATATATTGAATTTTTTCACTTTGCTTTTTTTAATAGGAATAAAGTGAATGCAGGGTCCTGGGAGACCAGTAATAGTGAATGCAGGGTCCGGGGAGACCAGATATAGTGAATGCAGGGTCCGGGGAGACCAGATATAGTGAATGCAGGTTCCAGGGGAGACGGATATAGTGAATGCAGGGTCCAGGGAGAGAAGATATAGTGAATGCAGGGTCTGGGGAGACCGGATATAGTGAATGCAGTGTCTGGGAGACCAGGATATAGTGAATGCAGGGTCTGAGGGGGGGAGATCGGAAATAGTGAATGCAGGGTCCGGGAGACCAGATATAGTGAATGCAGGATCCAGGGAGATTGCAGATATAGTGAATGCAGGGTCTGGGGAGATGGATATAGTGAATGCAGGCTCCTGGAGACCAGATATAGTGAATGCAGGGTCCAGGGAGATTGGTATATATTGAATGCAGGTCTGGGGAGAGCGGATATAGTGAATGAAGTGTCCTGGGAGAGTGGATATAGTGAATGCAGGGTCCGGCTAGAGCGGATATAGTGAATGCAGGGTCCGGGGAGACCAGTTATAGTGAATTCAGGGTCCAGGGGAGAGCAGGGATATAGTGAATAGTGAATGCAGGGTCCGGCGAGCAGATATAGTGAATGCAGGGTCCGGGGGAGAGTGGATATGTGAATGCAGGGTCCAGGGATACCAGATATAGTGAATGCAGGGTTCCTGGGGAGCAGATATGGAAAAAATGCATGCCTCAGGGGAGAGTGGATATATAGTGACTGCAGGGTCCGGGGAGACTGGATGTAGTGAATGCAGGGTCCTGTGAGACCAGATATATTGAATGCAGGGTCTCGGGAGAGGGGATATTGTGAATGCAGGGTCCAGGGAGAGCGGATATAGTAAATGCAGGGTCCGGGGTGAATGGATATAGTGAATGCAGGGTCCGGGGAGAGGGGATATATGAATGCGGGGTCGGGGAGGCCAGATATAGTGAATGTGGAGTCTGTGGAGACCGATTATAGTGAATGCAGGGTCTGGGGAAACCAGATATAGTGAATGCAGTGTCCGGGGAGACCAGATATAGTGAATGCGGTGTCCGGGAGACCAGATATAGTGAATGCTAGGTCCAGGGAGACCAGATATAGTGAATGCTACGGGGTCCAGGGAGACCAGATATAGTGAATGCAGGGTCCTGGGAGAGCGGATATAGGGAATGCAGGGTCCAGGGAGAGTGGATATATTGAATGCAGGGTCCGGGGAGACCACATATAGTGAATGCAGGGTGGGGAGAGCAGATATAGTGAGCAGGGCGGGGATACCACATATAGTGAATGCAGAGTCTGGGGAAAGCGAATATAGTGAATGCAGTGTCCGGGAGGAGGAGTGTGCGGATGACGTCAAGACGTTATCATTCATCGGGACAGCGGTTATAGTACTCTGTAAGCAGCTCTTGGAACGACATTACAGCAGGCAATAGCATTCATTAAGTGGCCCCGTGCTTTGCCTGGCATTACATTACGGATGGGGTCTGGTTTGAGCATGAACAGGACTCTGCTGCTGAGATGATACTGCCATCTAGTGTCTAATCAGTACATCACTGGATGTTCATCATACCTGGTGCAATATACACCTCCGGAACGTGAGTGCATTTCTTATGTTTAATTTTAAATGATAAAGCACTATTGGAGTTCTTTGTAATGAGAATATGATACTTTCAGGAGGGAGATTACTTTGGAGTCCTCATTCAACAAGCTGATCTTCTGAGTCCAAATGGGACCAAAAGTGCAGTTAGACGGTAACATTGTATAATGTGCGGTCACACAGCGTGAGGTGAGCAGATATATGGTGGAGGATGTCTTTGCACGGGAATTGATGACAGATGCACATATTTTTCATTATCCAAAGAAGGGTTCACAGAAGAACACTTTATTGATTGAACTTGAGTTTTTGAAAGACTTTTGCTTGATTCATACTTAAAAAATACTTATTGATAATTTTTTTGTGTGGTCCTTGTTTTTATATATATATATATATATAGTATATATAGTTTTGTTTACTTAATTTTTTTTTCAATAATTTTTATTTTTTATTTTTTATTTTTTCACTTTGCTTTTTGATATATAGGAATTGTGCAATTGTTTTTTTAATGTAGCTCATATTTTTTCACTTCATAATATGATAGTGAATGCAGGGTCTGGGGGGACAAGATATAGTGAATGCAGGGTCCTGGGAGAGCAGATATAGTGAATGAAGGGTCTAGGGATAGTGGATATAGTGAATGCAGGGACTGGGGGAGACCAGATATAGTGATTGCAGGGTCCGGGGAGAGCGGATATATAGTGAATGCAGGGTCCGCGGAGACCAGTAATAGTGAATGCACTGTCCTGCAAGACCAGTAATATAGTGAATGCAGGGTCCGGGGAGACCAGATATAGTGAATGCATGTTCCAGGCAGACCAATTATAGTGAATGCAGGGTCCAGGGAGAGAAGATATAGTGAATGCAGGGTCCGGGGAGAGTGGATATAGTGAATGCAGGGTCCGTAGGAGATAGGATATAGTGAATGCAGGGTCCGGGAAGACCAGATATAATGAATACAGGGCCCGGGGAGAGCAGATATAGTGAATACAGGGTCCGGGGAGAGCAGATATATAGCGAATGCAGGGTCCTGGGAGAGTGGATATAGTGAATGCAGGGTCTGGGGAGACCGGATATAGTGAATGCAAGTCCAGGGAGAGCAGATATAGTGAATGCAGGGTCCGGGGAGCGGATATAGTGAGTGCAGTACCCGGGGAGGAGTGTGCGGATGACGTCACCATTCATCGGGACAGTGGTTATAGTACTCTGTAAACGGCTCCTGGAATGACATTACAGCAGCCAATAGCATTCATTAAGTGGCCCCGTGCTTTGCCTGGCATTACATTACGGATGGGGTCTGGTTTGAGCATGTACAGGACTCTGCTGCTGAGATGATACTGCCATCTAGTGTCTAATCAGTACATCACTGGATGTTCATCATACCTGGTGCAATATACACCTCCGGAACGTGAGTATATCTATTATGTTTAATTGAGGAATAAAAAAAAAAGTATAAAAGGATAAAGCACTATGTGGAGTTCTTTCTAATAAGGAATACGGCTGATACAAAGACGCTTATCAGGAGGGAGATTACTTTGGAGTGGGGAGGATGTCT